CCCGTAACTCATTGTGCCGAACATTTATGGAAAGTTTCGTCAAGATCGGATGCACGGTGTCGGAGATAATTTCTGAGGGGGGGGGGCTTAAGAAAGAACGTAAAAGAAATCGCACTACCGCTGACGATTTAATACATACAAAAATGGTTTATCTTTAGTTCAAAAAGAAACTTAACTCTGGCTAAGTTGTTCGAAAATGGCTTGTGCATTTTACGATAGGTCTAGTTTCGAATGCTTTAAGGGAACTTTTATCCGTTATATTCTGAAAGAATAAAACTTATACCAATTGTACGAAAGACCTTCGGGAATCCAAAATTTCTTTCTATGTATCTACTGCTGTTTTCAAGTTTTTCAAAGTAGAGCAAAAAACCTATGTAATTCTCAGCATAAGCGCACAGCAGTATTAGAGGGAGTAAGAGAAAAAGATAGATCCTTCTTAGCTTCAGTTAGGCATATGGTTAAACCAAGTTTTCTTAACTGATTATGGAGATGAGAAAAGTCTTCTTTCTTAGATAATTTATCAAAACTAAGAATTCCGTCCATGCAGGTAGTTGATGTTGTCTGAGCATCGGTCCAAAAAGCCAGTTGGATCATATTTATTCATTCTGCTCTGCAAGCTCGTACATTTCTTTCCTATCAGAACCATATGTCTGGCAAAAGCGTTGATTATAGTACCACCCAAACTTCCAACATAAACAATAGACAATGGAACAGTGCGCATCTACTACAGTAGTCTATGACTGTCATGAAGAAACCTATGCCCAATAAATGTTGTTGGTTTACGAATAAATGATAGTAGTTCTTTATCTAAGTTTTATTGTACAAGTGCAGATTCATAGCGTGTAGAATCTTTATCCCATGTTTAATGGAAAGAACCTTAAAAAGGAAGACAGACAGTCAAAAATATTGTTTGGAAAAGAAGTCCAAAGCATAGATTTATCCGGCGAATTTCAGAGTTATGGCTCGGTTCTCCAGAGATCTCCTGGAAAACCGATTTTTAAAATATTTTTCGAGACAAACAACACAATGATTATGACTGGAACCACCAAACATCACATTGTTTAACGAGATATCTGAGTCATATGTGTACATGAACACATACGAATGGAATCGAAAGCGTCGGCGACACGTTTGCGGCGTGATTCACCCTCTCCTGGAATGCTAAACAACGAACCAATTTGACGAAAAGAGAGGTTTGTTTTGACTTTGATCCAAAACATTGCTAAAGCTGTTCGTATATTAGATAATTGTCAGCTGGTAAAGTACAGTCATCTGCAACAGTGATTGCAGTTTTTGTTAGACCATCGTTTAAACAGCTATATTCTCTATCATATCGAATTCGGAGATATACGAGACATTTTTTGTTTTTTTTCGTTCTCATAACCTGCAGTAAGGAAGTAAGGTTATTTTTCTTTAAACCTACTTTTGAATTTTACACAATTTTTGGTATAAAAGTCTACACTAAATTAAGAGACATTCAGTGTCTTGAGTAAATAAGATGAGTGCTAGATCATATCTATAAAAACGCGCTTGCAACAAGCCATATAAAAAATCAAACGGTCCTGATTATATCATCGGCCGGCTGCATTGATGCACAGCTCAAAACAGTTTTGAATAGTTTGACGGTTTTTAAGCCAAATAGTGATAAGTGTCATTTTCATCTGCAGCTCGTTTCAAATAGTCTTTTTCAATCAAAATATCGATGTGTTCCTAAAAGAAAGAAAAAATGAGGCTTTCTAGTCATTTATCGTTTGTATTCTTCTATTAAATATTGAGAATCAAGTTGACGCTCTTTATTTTGTCAAATTCTTCCATTACTCTGTCGTTTGGAATGGAAGAGTGCAGCTATTAATTTTACGCGACTTGTCTAATAACTCACAAATGAGATTTTTCTTGTTTCGGCGATGTTTTGGTATTATTTCAAAAGCGGATTTTGTCTAAGTTTTATCGGTAGTGGCTCTACGTTTTATATTGTGTTGAAAGAGTTTTCTAATGATAGGCAAGCGTTTAAAAGAAGGAGTTTCATTTTCTAGACGTTACAGAAACTACACCTTTTTTTAAATGTATAGTGGGCGGTTCGCTTGCAAGGGCGCTTAATAAACGAAGAGGATGGTCAGATTGATTTTGGTTTAAGTCATATTCTAAATGAGAAGTGTGCGTAAGAGATGCAACAAAGAAAGGATTTGTGAACGGCTCACGGCTTGTGAAATAAGAAGAATTAGCCTGCCGCCTTCTTTTCTTACCTGTGAACTTTTCAAAAAAGCCTTTCTAAGACATAGCTGAATTCTTCATAGCCGATTGACAATTCGAACTCGACTCACCTCGATAATTACAACGTTTGGTTTAAATCTAGACGATAACTGTTGCACAACTTTGTTTAGCAATTCTTGATGCTTCAATGTTTTATCTTCTTTCATTGTTCTTACAATAGCTGTCTAAAGAAAGCAGTAATAAAACATGAAACGACGTTTATAAGTCTCAACGAAATCGTATTCTTTGGTACACACTTGAATAACCATTCTACGGTCTTCATCAATACTATGATTTAAATCTTCATTATTTTTCTGTTCCACTTTCAATTTCCTTCTCAGATTAATTTTACGCCCTGTACTGCAAGGATAAAATATTTAGAGCAGTTTAGAAGTAAAAGAGCAGTTCTAAGAGAAAGAGAGCGGGAGAGACAAGCGTAACTTCCATACTTTTTATAGTCCAAAGCTAAGTGTAAAGTATATTCATTTTTGAGATCCTTTTCCGTCAGTTCATCACTATTCATGTTATCACCGCCGAGATTTGTACATGTGATAATTTTTTGTTTGAGTAAACTACATAACACTTGCAGCAATAGTTCCTCTTTTATTAAGGTTTCATCAACGAGATTTTCAACTGTATATTCCTCGGCTTTATTAAATAACAACAGCACCGCCAATTGATACATTGAAACCTAAGCCCGACATATATAGAAAATCACTTTTTTCATAATTCTGAAAGTATACTAGCTTTGTACTTACTTGAAAGATAAAGTTCTGTTTCAAATAAAATGTGTCTAATTCAGCTTTTGAATATTGATGTAGCCAGGTTAATTTCCGTCCGGTGTGTTGTTCATGATAAAACTGAGTAAAGCTGTTATATAGCGGTGTTAGTTCTGACGGAAGATTAAATGAATTCGGGGTTGCGAGTGACCATAAATTTGCAGACAGTACCATAACAGAGAAATCACCTGAAATGTTCGAGGAAAGTCAAAAGGAAAACATACCACTCACTACAGCAGAGTGAAATGTTACAAAAAAAGTCATGTATCTTATTGGATATTTTGCAAATAACATAGGATCGCGTGAATAGTTGATTGAACAATTTTCGTTTTGTGCAATATGCTAATTATCACTAAATTACAAAGAAATGTACGTACTTTTATCATTGATATTTCTTTCACGGTTTCGAAATTTTTTAGTTAAATCTTTGCTAATGCTAATATCTGAAAGCATATGCTCTAACTTGAACGTGTATTGCGCGCCACATACTACCTAAAAGTTAAAACCGACAAAACCTTCTATCACATGTTTTGTTTATCTCAAGGCCACGGAGCAAACTCACTTTCAACTTTGAAATCATTGATTCTTCCAAAGTATCTGATATTGATAATTCTCCGATAAGACGTCTAGCTAACAATTTAGTGTAACATTTTTCAAAAATATCTTTATCTTCTATATAATCAAAAATGATCATAATTCTATTTAAACAGTTTTCGAGATCCACTTCTTCAACCACTTTTTCACTAAATGTTACAACAAAACACGAGCGTTTATAAGAGTTTAGTCAACTCATGCATGTTATATGTTTCGCATCTCTGTTCGAAGTTTTTGCTTTAGCTAAAATTGAGTGTAGCTCGTTTATCATAATTTAGAAATCTAATACTCAAAAAATAAGCTCGTTTATCATAATTGTTATCTCAATTAAAACGGCAGTAATACGAGCATTTTAAAAATGAACATTGATTGATATAACAGAACAATAGATAGTGTATAACGGCGTTCTACTGTAATAACACGTCAGCTCGCTATTCCGAGAAAGCCTGTACATATACAGTTTAATGTTATATACACTAAAGGTTACGTGCGTCACTACCGACTAGTGCAAAGTATTTGTACAACTTCAATCGTAGTCTAGTATATGGAACAGAAAGAATGGGTTTGTTCTGCAAAAGTAAATTTATTTGATTCTTTTCTTTTATCTAGCCAAAGATTAGTTGTGTATATTTTCTAACTGCTGTTACAATACTTCTAAAATTTATTTGGACCTGAAAAACAGGTCACAGCTGAGCTCTCAAATCAATAACATGAGAAAAGTCGCATTTTTGAGATATCTTTCGATTTTTTGCAGCCACTTCGATAACACTCCAGCAATTTGATTATGCCATTTTGTAGAGCAAACAAGTCTCTACAAAACAGGCTTTTTCAGATGGGTTTTCTAATGTTACAATTGGAAAACAAAAGAGACGGGTACAAGTATAAGAGATGAAAATTAATGCTATATTTTGCCTTCAAATTGACAACCAGAAAATCTTTCTCTTTAAAATCGAGCGACTGAAGTAAAATGTGGTTTCATTCCGCCACGTGAAGACCATCCCTGTGGAAAGTTCTTTTTATTTTTTTTAAATTATTCGAAGAAAATGATTGAACTAGCGAAGAAATAGAAATTATATAACTTACTAAACAGAAGAAAAACAGAGCAAACGAACCGAAACACTTGTAGCGCTGGGAAAAGAAACTGATTGTAAAAACAAAAATCCTTGTCTAACTATTCCAACAAGTGACAGTTGCTTGGTGAAAGTGACAGTTGGCGGTAATAAATTTCCAAACGCATATTTATTGTTCAATGGCTCCTCCCTATTCAATGAAGATTTTCAAAAACAAAAATCATTTCAAAAGTGGCTCCGTAGTCGGAAAGATCTATCAGATCGATTTGATACTAAGACTGATTACCCGTTCTTGAAACCGTTTGATATGAATCAACAAGATTATGATCCTATTCCAGGCATCATTCGTACAGCGATGTTTTTCAATGACACAATTGGACAATCCGAGTTAGATATTACAAAAATAATTCAAATATCGAACAAGAATATTCGACGTGTATTCGAAACGTCGAAGTTTTGAACTTAGACCAACTCTCTGATGAGATAGTACTACCTTTAGATTGCCGCGCAAATGCCTGAGAACCATTCAATAAAGAAAAGCACGTAGAAACCTACCTGATCCAAAGCAGACATAAAGACTTGTTCAGTACTGACAGTTGGTGAAAATTTTCCATGAACCGCGAGAATTGTTTCAACATAAAGTTTTGGATCCTGAAAGAAGAAAATAAGGTTTTTGTAAAAGAAAATAGCACCAAGGAAACTTACATTGATGCTCGTGACTGCGAATCGTTCGATTGCTTCTATTCCTTCATGATGAATGTGTTCTTCCACAATTTTCTTCAGCTCTTTTGCTACGTGCGGAATAGAACGAACGGATTTAAAGATATTTGCTATTTGTGTAACATCATTAATTAAAACTCTCATATCATCTTCCACAATTTGTTTCAACTTAGAAATATGATCATGATTACATGGTACATGACTCAGCAATGTACATAGTTGTGGTAAATCTAGGATAAAAAAGCAATCGAAGTCATTCAAACTACTCAAATTCATCACTCGCTCAATTTCTTTCGCTCCTTCCTTTGTATCACTTACACTGATTTTTTTCGTCATATGATAATGTCTCATATTCATTTAGAATTCTATCATAATCAATAAATTTATCACAAATCTCAATGAAAGAAACTGCAGGTAAGAAACCGGAAACGAGCAGTACAAGTTTAAGAGTGATATAATCATGCAAAATGCGTAACTCTGCTACCGGAGTGTCTGTGCGCTACCTTTTTTCCTCTTTTCGTCTATCCTATAATATTCGGAAGGAATATTTTCGGCCGGTTCCAGAAAAGTAGCATAAAGAACGAGATAGGACAAGCTAATTTTTTATCCCTCAAAATATCTCAAAGATTTTTATATATTCGACATCATCACCAAATGATGAACAAGTCTCGCAAAACAAATTTTGGTATGAGGACTGACGACTAAGTGCATCCGCCATAGTGTCACTAAAACATATAGGATATTCAAAATTCGAACTGAAATTCATTGGATGAAAATTTTAGATTTAAATAAGCTTCAAATAACATTTCATTTCCCCATAATTCTTTGTTATGCTCAAGCGCA